CCGCGGGCCGGAACGCGCGCGGCCTTCCGCGCCAGCCGTGAGCAGCTCTCAGAGCCTGAGCTCTTCGTGCTGCTGCTCACCGAGGTGCCCGGGTGAGCCAGCCTGGGGCAGGGCCTGGGGGCAGCACGGGGGGTTGGGGAGCGTGGGCTGGGGGTGTTCCCACAGGGGCGTGGGGCAAGGGCCAGGGGTAGCACAAGGCACTGGGGGGCAGGAACAGGAGTCCAGCCAAAACTGCTGCAGAGGCAGGACCTGCCTAGCCCCCCGCCCCGCGCTCACCTGCCCTGCCCAGCTACGCGCAACGCCTGGAGCTGCTGGTGCTGCGAGAGGAGTTCTTCCCTCGGCTCAACGCGCTCCGGTCCTCCATCCAGGTGCAGACCGCCGCCACCACCGGTGCGTGGGACAGGGCTGGGGCGTGGGGGTTCCAGCCAAAACTGCTGCAGAGGCAGGACCTGCCTAGCCCCCCGCCCCGCGCTCACCTGCCCTGCCCAGCTACGCGCAACGCCTGGAGCTGCTGGTGCTGCGAGAGGAGTTCTTCCCTCGGCTCAACGCGCTCCGGTCCTCCATCCAGGTGCAGACCGCCGCCACCACCGGTGCGTGGGACAGGGCTGGGGCGTGGGGGTTGGGACTCCGGCACCCGGCAGGCCCTTCACCCCAGTCCCCTCTCTGCAGAGCTGCTGGAGTGCAAGGAGCTGCACATCATCCTGCACCTCATCCTGAGAGCCGGCAACCACCTGAACACCGTGAGCTAGGGGGGCGAGGGCAGGGAGCCAGGATGTCTGGCATCTCTCTTGAGCCCTGGGAGGGGAAAGGGGTCTGCTGGGGTGGGGGAAGTGGGAGCCTGCATGCCTAGCTTTTGGCTTTGCTGGGCTATGGATGGGGGCTGGGGGCCAGGACACTTGGTTTCTCTCTGGACTCGGAGGGGCCTGCTGGGGCAGGGCTGGGAGCCAGGAGCCTGAGGAGAGGGCTACCGGTGCTGGTACAGGCTACCCAAGGTGTCTCTGCTGCCAGGGCGGCTATGCAGGCCAAGCCGCTGGCTTCCGCATGGCCTCGCTGCTGCGGCTGATGGACACCAAGGCCAACAGGCCGGGCATGGACCTCCTGCACTTCGTGGCCACGGTGAGTGGGTAGAGGCAGGGGTAGGGGCAGGGCCCCCTGGGCAGGGCACAAGCCCTGCCTGGTCCTGGGGTCTCCCAGACCTGGCCCCGCACTTGCCAGCCCCCGCATGTCCCCACAGGAGGCTGAGAGGATGGAGCGAGGCCTGCTGGACTTCCCAAGCAAGTTACAGCACGTGGGACCGGCCTCGCGGTGAGCACGGCAGAGCTCTCCTTGTGCACCGGGGGGATCTGGGGGAGGAGGGACCCTGGGCCACGGGGGGCGGGAGGAATCCGCCTGCCCCTGACTCCCCGCTCTGCCCGGCAGGATCGTGGAGCAAGACGTGGCACAGGAGCTGCAGGGCCTGGCGTGGCGGCTGGAGGGGGCGCAGGCCGGCCTGGAGGCGCTGGGGCTGCGGGCGCAGCTGGGCCCCTTTATTCATGTGGCGGAGGCGGCGCTGGGGGAGGTGCGGATCGCCCTGGCCCTGCCGCGCTGCTCGACTTCTACTGCGAGGACCCGGAGTGCGGCAGCCTGCAGGAGCTGTGCGCTGTGATGCACACCTTCGCCGTGCGCTTCCTCGCTGCCGTGCAGGTAGGGCCCCGCAGCACCGTCGAGCATGTGGACTTAAGGGCTAGCTCTGGGGAGGTGGCGGGGGGAGCCTGGAGGTCTGGGTCTCATCCCATTCTGGGAGGCTGGGCAGGTGCTAGGACTTTCCCAGCTCTGAGGGGAGGGAGAGTCCGGTGGTTTAAGTAGAGGGCTAGGAGCCTGGATCCTTTCCCATCTCTGGGTGGGGGGGAGCAGAGATGCAGCGGGGCCAGGAGGTCCCCTGGGTTTTTCTGCAGCTCTGGGAGGACAGTGGGGGCCACGGTGGGAGCGGGCGGAGCTGACGCCCCCTCTCTCCGCAGGAGAACGAGGCACGGGCGCAGGCGGAGCAGCGCCGAGCGCGGCTGGAGCAGGAACGACAGCAGAAGCGCCGCTCCATCGCCACCTGCTCAGCCCGTGACGCCATCCTGCCCCAGCCCGACCTGGACCTGCTGCTGCGGCGCCCGCCCCGGCCCCGTCGCCCAGCCCACGGCCCCTGTGCCCCCGGCGTCCGCCTCTGCCTCCCACCCAATCTCCAGGCCAGCCCCAGGTGCCCTGCCACGCTGCCGGGTCCCAGGGCCAGCGCTGGGGACTGTGCCGCGCTCCCCCGCCTGTCCCGGCGCCACACGGTGCCCACCCTGCCCGAGCCCCAGGACCCTGTGGAGCCAGTGCCCACCTCCCCACCCCCACCTGCCCCGGAGCACATGGGGGGTATCTTTGGGCAGGGTCTCAAGGCCTGGCTTCCAGAGCGGCCCCCGGCTCCAGCCCCAGCAGCACCCCTGGCTAGGGCCCGCTCACCCTCATCCTCCTTCCGCTTCTCCAGTCTCTTCCACAAGAAGGGGGGGCAGGACCAGCCCGTCTCCCCCGGGGCCCAGCCCCAGCCCCGTGACGTCTCTACCTTGGTCGGCTTCTTTCGCTGCCTCAGCACGGTGGGGGAGAGGTGGCGTTGGGCCCCGTAGACCTGAGGGGGTCAGCCCCATACAGCCCTCCCCCGTGGGGTGCCTGTGGCCCCTGTCCTGCAGGCCCTGGCCAGCCTGGGGATGGCGGTGCGCCCGCGGGCCCTTCCTGCGGCTGCTCTCAAGACGTTTTTATTGTTTGCTAATAAAAGGTGAGAACTGCTCCCTGCCTGGGCGCCTGCTGCTTCCGGGGTGGGGGGTGCACGGCAGAGGCTGTCCTGGGTTGGGGGGGAGCCCCAGCCCAGCTGTTTGGTGTTTCTGGCTTCTGGGCTTTGCTGGGGTGGGGAAGGGATCCTGCCCCACCCCTCTTGCAGGGTCAGGGGCTTTTTCCCCACCAGCCCTGGGTGCTGGCCACAGCCCCCTCAAGGCCAGGCCCAGATGGAGGGGCCCTGCGGGGCATGAAGGGATTTCCCCAGGGTTAGTTCAGTGGGGGCCCTGGGGCTGCAGCAGAGGCATAGCCTCTGCCCCAGTGCAGCAGGGCAGCCCTTTCCTCTCCTTCCGTGATGGTCTGGGCAAGGGCTGTTTGCACCCTGTTTTTTGGAACGGGCAGGGTGGGGGCTTGGGTAGGGCTGGCCCGGCTGTGACCCCACAACCCTGGGTGTGGGGCAGCTCCTCAGCACGCACCCAGGATCCCTGCCCTTGCAGTTGCATCTGCATCCTGCCCTGCCCCTGTCTCCTTGTGGGCCAGTGCACGGAGGGCGTCTGGGTCTGGTCCCTGAGCCCTGGCCCAGGCACATGGGCAGTGCTTGGCCCAGAGAGACACAGGCCTGTGCGCCCCCAGTTCTGGGGTCCAGCCCCCCAGCAGCCCCTGCTCCCCTGCTGTGTCGGGGGTGGGGCAGGGGGGGATGGGCCAGGCCCCATGTCCATCCATCCTGCCTCATGTTGAGACAGCCCTGGGACCCTGCTTGTCCAGCCCCGAGCACGCTGGGCCTGGCTCAGCCCCAATCCGCGCCCTCAGTGCCCGGTGGGCCACGCTGGGTGCAGGCTGCTGGGACCGGCAGGGTGGGGGGCTGCGAAGGGAGTCGGGGTAGGAGCAGGGGCAGGCCCTGGCTCGCTGCACAGTGCTGCGACTCCCAGCGCCCGGGGCCAGACGCCATGCTCGGCTCCGCTCGGCTGCGCC